CTGGAGCCACCTGAGTGTGTGGAGCAGGCACACCAGCCTGCTATGGGACATGACAGTAGCAAGTCCACATTGGCTGTCTGCAGGTAAGAAAATTCCTAAGGACCCAATCTGACTTCACATCTTCCGTGTGAGCCCTAGGAAGGAGAAGCAGCTGCAGACTTGGAATGGAAGCCCAGGGCAGGAAGAGGCAGGAGAATTGTTTTGTCACTTATTGCCCCTGGGGCCATACCTGTGCCTTGAGGCTTTTCTTCCTGGATTGCAAAATTTGAAGAAGGGTAGAGATTTGGAGAGCGCTGGACCCAATCCTTCTACTTCCAGCTGAGTGACATCACCTCTCTGAACACCCATTGGCCAATTTGTAAGTTGAAGCATACATTGCCCACTGGACAGGTTGGGTGACTCAGACCCTGTACTAGCTCAGTGCCTGTAACATAGCAATGCCATTAGTAATAATAATAATAACAACAACAACAGACTGGGTGTGCCTTTAACCCAGTACCAGGGAGGCAAAGGCTGGCTCATGTCTGTCAGTTCAGATCAGCTTGATCAATATTAGATATAGTTAAGACCCTGCCTCAAAATAATAGTAGTAGTAGTAATAATGGATGACAATAACAATTTCTTTCAAATTTGGGGATATGTTTTTGAGTTAGCATTTAGGGTTGTTTAGGGGGTTATTTTTTCCTCCCTTCCTTTCTTTCTTGGAGACAGGGTCTCATATAACCTAAGCTGACCTCAAACTTGCCATATAACGGAGGCTGGCCTAATCTTCCTACCTCCACCTGCACACTGGGATTATAGGCTGGTTTTTGTCATTGTTGTTATTTTATTTCTTGAGACAGGGTATTATGAGTAGTTTTCCTGCCAGCCCCAAATAACACACAGAGACACTGTATTAGATATAATGCTGTTGGCCTGTTACTAGTGTTTCTTATTGGCTAGCTCTGTCTTAAATATTAACTCATTTCTATCAATCTAAGTATCTCCACATGGTCTTATTTTACTGGAGAGAGGGTCCAGACCTCTGATCTCTTGGTCCTACATGTTGAATCTTCTCCTATCTCTCCCTGAATCCTCTTTGTTTCCTAGTCCTGCCTGCCTTGCTTTCCTATTGGCCAACAGTGCTTTATTCATTAACCAATAAGAGAAACATATTTGCAGAATGACATCTCCCATCAACAGGGTCTCACTATGTAGCCCTGGCTGGCCTGGGACTCACTATGTAGATCAGGCACACATGTCAGAACACACATAAAACCAGATGCAGTAGCTCCTACAGTGACATGGGAGATAAAAAGAGGCAAGTCCTCTAAAGCTCGTGGACAAGCTAGGCTGCCTTATACAAAAATGACTAACAAAAGGGAGATGCTGTCTCAAAAACAAGGTAGAGGTGAAGACTGACACCTGAGGATGTCCTCAGACCCTCACACACACTGTGGCATAGGAATTCTACACAGATGTGCTCATGCACGAATACACATCACACACACACACACACACACACACACACACACATACACACACTCACACACATACACAGGCTAGGGATGGTGACACCCCCATAATCCCAGTACTTGGGAGGTGGCAGATCTGCAGCTCAGAGTATCCTACACAGTGAGACCCTTACTCACAACAAAAGCAAAGACAAATCAGGAAAAAGAAAGGAGATAGGATTGCCATAAGGCTGAGTATCCCAACACTACTCGGCTTCCCCAATCCCCATCCCATAGCATTTAAGTTTGCCTGTTGGGTCCTATGCCCATGGGCTTCTACTGGGATTATGCCAGAGGTGAGATTGTGTTGATGGTGCTCAGCCTTGCCTAACCCTCATCATCCATGCCTAGGCCCAAAACCATTTGCTTAACATCTCAAATACTTAAGCCCAGAGTCCAGAAGCACATGGAAGAGACATGAAAATGGTTTTCATGGTTTGTGCGTGGGAGTGGGGGTGGGATGATGTCAGAGGTATGCTGGGACATGCTTGTTATCCCTGTACTCCGGAGGCAGAGGCAGGATGGTTTCGGGTACCAATCTGTCCCAGGCACATAGCAAGACCCTGTCTCAAAAAACAACAGCTGGGGAGGCTCAGGCCTGAGTCCATCCCAAGCATTGTTTGAACTGGATGTGGATGTGTATGCCTGTAATCTCAGAACTCTGGAGGATCAGAAGTTCAAGGTCATCCTTGGCTGCATAACGAATTTGAGGTCAGCCTCAGATACATGAAGCCTTGTTTCAAAAAATCAGAGAACTGGAGAGATGGCTTAGCCTTTGAGAGCACTTGCTGTTCTCTTGGAGGACCTGAGTTTGTTTTTTGCTATCCACATGTTGGCTTACAACTACCTTTAATTCCAGCTTCATGGGATCTGATGCCCTCTCTGGCCTCTTAGGGTACTCTGTGTGTGTGTGTGTGTGTGTGTGTGTGTGTGTACACGCACGTGCGCACATACACACTCACTCAAATAAATAAATAAATAACCTTAAAATCAAACCAATGAATAAAGAACCCATGGGGTCAAACATCCTGTTTCCATTTATAAAGCTGGATTCTTTCTCTGGAGATGAATTTCTACCATGAAAAATGTTCAAGGATTTAAAATTTAGCAGTTAACTTTTTAAAAGCAAATATTTAAATCATTTATTGTCATTAACAGACCTGCATCTACACACAGTGGATAATACTAGTTCTTGTTACTACTGGAAATTATGTCTTAATATGCCAACTGAAGGATATACTATAGTCATTAAAGAGAAAGTCAAGAATTTTGAGTTTGTAAGTGCTTATAGTTATAAAAGTTTGTTCCCTTACATTTTTATTACACAAATCCCAATAGATAACATACACATCACTATACATTACTATAGGTAAAATCATTATTCACAATTATTAAATTAGTTGTGTATTTTGAATTACAGATGAAGACAAATTTTAGCATTATAAGGCAGTAGAAAGTTGGTCTAGGGACTTTCTCCTATTTTGTAATGTTGGCAAGGTTATTAAAGATAGCATTCTGTGTTTTCCCCTCAGCAAGATGATTTATGCTGATGTGATCTGTGGCTCACAGCACTGCTGCCTTTCTTTCTCTCTTTCTTTCCTTCCTTCCTTCTCTGTGTAGAGCCAGCTGTCCTGGAACTCGCTCTGTACACCAGGCTGGCCTTGAACTCACAGAGATCACCTGCCTCTGCCTCCTGAGTACTGGGGTTAAAGGCGTGCGCCGCCACTGCCGAGCAGGCCCTGCTCCTTTCAAGAGCTGATCCTTGCACTGCTATACAGCTGCTTACTCATCTCATAGTTAGCAAGGTGCCCCCTGAATGAGCTGATCTACTTCATTTGTTACAGGGCATGCAAACAGAAGCTAGATCCAGGTTGTGCCTTGTAGGCAAATGTCACAAATGTCAAAGAATAGTAACAGAGGGTTAAAGTCATCCACCCACTGATAATCCCTGGATTCTTCATGTCACTGACAGCAGCAGTGGGGAGACCACAATTGGCACCTGGACTCCAGAAGTGTGTGCGCATGAGATAGTCCTGGAAGTCCTTGCTGAGACAGTCTGCCACTTTACACACCAGCGTTCCAGTCATGGCCATGCGGTTCTCAGTGAAGCCTCTATTCAGACAGATGACACTAGCTTCCACCCACTGTGGTCCTCAGTGCTCTCACCTTGTGCCGGCCTTATGACACCCAGATATCAGCAGTTCAATTTTTTACTTAATAAAAATGTTTTGTTGGGGCTGGGTGGTGGCACACGCCGTTCATCCCAGCACTGGGGAGGCAGAAGCAGACAGATCTCTGTGAGTTGGAGGCCAGCCTGGTCTACAAAGCAAGTGCCAGAAGAGGCCCTAAAAATGTTTTATTGTAGGTTTTTTGTGGTTATTATTGTTTTGTTTTTGAGGAATGATCTTATATGTAGTCCTTGTTGGCCTCAGACTCACAAAAATCCACCTCTCTGCCTCCTGTGTGTTGGAATTAAAGGCATGTGCCACTATTCATGGCTTGTTGTAGGTTTTGTTTTAAGAATCAGTCAGGAGCCAGGCATGATAGTGAGTGGGTGTCTGTAATCCTACAATTTAGAAAGTAGAGACAAGGAATCAGGAGTTCAAAGTTATCCTAGACAACAGAATGAATTCAAAGCCAACTTGGGCTACATGAGACCATGTCTCAAAAAAGCACTACCATCCCCTTCCTCACTCTGCCACAAAGTTATTTGTGCTGACTCTAGGACATTTGGAAAGTCAGATTAATGGAAGTAAGCGCCCCTCCATCCTCCGACAATGGGTGATGACAATATTGTATTCTTTCTTCCCCCAGGCCCAGTTTGGTTTTGTTTGGCTTCCACTGCAGCATAAACAGAGTGACGTGTTCTGATTCACTTTACAGTGATGACTTCATGTGCTTGTGATACTTCCAACAGCTAGGACACTCTGTCCCCCCTGGGAATCGTGTGGGTGGGGCACACCACTGCTGCTGTGTTCCCCATCAAGTTCACAGCACCAGGGGCAGCATAAAGCAGTACCTTTTCATCCTACCTTTTCTGAGTTCTCCTTTTAGAATCTAATCCTGCTTTTCTTTTCCTTTTTCTTTCTTTCTCAAACCTCAGCACTTCTGAACATATCTCCATCACCGTGAACCAGCAGTGACCCATCCGTCGGTTTTGTCTTCTCCTAGCTCATGCATTCTTTGAGTCTTGGTAACGGGAATGTTTTGTCTGGTCAGACTCAGAAGCCATCAGCAGGATAGAACTGACATTAAGGACTCATGGCGTTGTCGGGAGGAGCCTGGGAAAACGGAGCTGTTGATGGCATACTCTGAATCAGCTGCAGCTTCTTGTCTTCAGCTTTCAAAGCTCTCTGGACGTGACCTGATATCCAGAATCTTCTCTCAGTATGAACGAGGAATTGTTAAAGTTTTTACTAAATATATCGAGGTCTTATGTTTTACAAAGAGCTAGAATACCAAAGGCAAAAAGAACCCCAGCACTCTGCCTATCCTCCTGTGAGACTCTGGTAATTGTCTGACAAATCCATCATGTATTCCCTGGGATGGAGCATCTTCTGGGAAAGGGTTCAGAACCCCAAGATGCCTTGGGGTTCACCTGCTTCCAGAAGCAGCTAGTGGTGGTCTTGGTGTTCTTTCCTGGCCATGTCTTGAGGTCTTTTGGCTGCGCTCTGTTCTGATGTATGGCCTTGACAATTATGGAACCGAAGGATTACCTTCCTCTTTGGGTGGGACAACAGCGAAGGAGGGAGTCTTGTGTGTAGAAGTCTGTGGAAAGAGAGCAACACTGAGCATGTCTCTGCCAAACCAGTCCATAGAAGGCCTTCCCCAGGAGGCCTTCAACAGATCCCTGAATACTACAGGGGCTTGGGACCCACAGGTTCTGCAGGCTCTCAAAATCTCCCTTGTAGTGGTTCTTTCCATCATCACGCTGGCCACTGTCCTCTCCAATGCCTTTGTGCTTACCACCATCTTACTCACCAAGAAGCTCCACACCCCAGCCAATTATCTCATTGGCTCCTTGGCCACCACCGACCTTTTGGTTTCTATCTTGGTCATGCCCATCAGCATAGCCTATACTACCACCCGCACCTGGAACTTTGGCCAAGTCCTGTGTGACATCTGGGTGTCTTCTGACATCACATGCTGTACAGCCTCCATCCTGCATCTCTGTGTCATTGCTCTGGACAGGTACTGGGCCATCACTGACGCCCTGGAGTACAGCAAACGCCGGACAGCAGGCCATGCAGCAGCCATGATCGCGGCAGTCTGGGTCATCTCCATCTGTATCTCCATCCCACCGCTCTTCTGGCGGCAGGCCACAGCTCAGGAGGAGATGTCTGACTGCCTGGTGAACACATCTCAGATCTCTTACACCATCTACTCCACTTGTGGGGCCTTCTACATCCCATCCATCTTGCTCATTATCCTGTATGGCCGCATATATGTGGCTGCCCGGAGTCGAATCCTGAACCCACCCTCACTCTATGGGAAGCGCTTCACTACAGCACAGCTTATCACAGGCTCCGCAGGTTCTTCACTCTGCTCACTCAACCCCAGCCTCCACGAGAGCCACTCACACACAGCTGGCTCCCCTCTCTTTTTCAACCAGGTGAAAATCAAGCTTGCAGATAGCATCCTAGAACGCAAGAGGATCTCTGCAGCTCGAGAAAGGAAAGCCACTAAGACCTTGGGCATCATTCTGGGGGCCTTTATCATCTGCTGGCTGCCTTTCTTTGTAGTTTCCCTGGTTCTCCCCATCTGCAGGGACTCCTGTTGGATCCACCCGGCCCTCTTTGACTTCTTTACTTGGCTAGGTTATTTAAACTCCCTCATCAATCCCATCATCTACACTGTGTTCAACGAAGACTTTCGACAAGCATTTCAAAAAGTTGTCCATTTCCGGAAGGCCTCCTAGTCAGATTTGGAGTGACTCTTGTTCATGTTATATCTTGTAATCCAACTAAGGTTGCCTTTTAAAATTATTGTTGTTTCTTTGAGACTTGAGTTGATGTGTGCTATTTTGGGTCTTGGATTAATCAATTGACCTGTTTTGTATGAATACTGCCAGCGTCTTCTAGACTTCTGAGTCATCTAAAGCTAGGCCATTGTGTAAATGGGGACAGGACTGAAGATGTCCCTTGACATAATATTCTTATGGTTCTCTGGATTGGAAGAAATCTAAGCTACAGGACTGAGGTGAGGAACTGTCTATTCTCTAGCAGGGCTCAGAGAGAAGGCCTTCTGGTCTACCTTGGTTTCTATGGGGCTGTGGAGAGTTGGTGTAAAAAATGAATTAGAGAGAGTTTGGAATTAGAATGGAAGGGTCGCCATCTCCTATAGCTTTTTGATTAGGAAATAACACCAAATTGCTTCCACTGGGTCCTGGTTGTCCAAAGGAAAGTGGTACCAGTGACATGGAAAGAAATTCAGAGGGTGGCACCCGGGGAGGGAGACACTTGGGACCAGATCAACTACCCTGCATCCTTCATTTTTCCCTCTATCTCTATTATATAATGCTCAGAAGTTAAAACCCACCACCATGCCCCTCAAGAAGACTGACAAATGTTGAACCCACCAAGCGTTGAGTGGGTCAACCCATTCTGCCCATTCTGATTTCTTTTCTGAATTACTATTTTTTTTTTACAACTCATTGTCATCAAAGTTCCTAAGATATTGAGTTTTATCAAATAAAAAGCATGGGACATAGTGAGCAGTGATGTCTTTACAGAATTATTTATTTACCTATTATTTTGTGTATGTGTGTACATGATATGTGTGTGAAGGTATGGCATGCCACAGTGCATGTGTGGAGGTCACAGGACCACTTCAGGTGTCAGTCATTGCCTTCTGCATTGTTTGAGGCTGGGTGTCTTTTGTTTCCATCTCTGCCTTGCATATTCCTAGCTAGCTAGCTCACAAGCTCCAGGGACATTCTCCTCTCTGCACTTCCCATCTCGTCATGGCAGGAGTGTTACGATTACAGTCGTGTACCCACTGCACCTGGCTCTTTACTCGGGTTCCTGGGATGGAATTTGAGTTGTCATACTTGGATAGCAAACATTCTGATCCACAGCCCCAGCCTTTTAGGAAGAGTAGACTCTTTGACTGTTTATTTGTTCCCCTTCTGCCCAGATGTCTAGACTTTCAACTTAACTCGGTCTAGAACATCCACCGAGCACCCACCTCATACCAGGCCCTGTGCCAAACATGTTAGCATTTGTTATAACAGTGAGCCTCATGACTGTGGATGCCTGTGTAATGTGACAACTAAAAATGGAGAAACTGGAAAGATGGCTCAGTGGGTAAAGAAACTGAGTTTGCTTCCCAGAACCACATGGTAGAGAGAACCATCTCCACAAGCTGTCCTCTGACTTCTGCATATGCACACATGCTAGCACAAATGCACATACTTATATTTCCACAAAAAAATAAATTTCAAAAATGTTAGGAAAAAAGTAAAAAAAACAAAAAACAAAAAACAAAACAAAAAAAAAAAAAAAAAAAAAAAAAAAAACCTCTTAAGACCTGGGGCTGAGGCTGAGGTCTATGATAGAGTACTTGCCTGTTGCAGTTCTTGGGTTTGGATCCCAAGCACTAAACAAAAACAAACAATAACAAAATGAGAGAAACTGAGAACCTGACCCTTCAGTTCAAATCCAAGTGCTGTCAGTTCCTAGCTGTGTGCACTTTTTAAATCCTTCTACATCTCTTTTCCCTGAGTGTAAAATGGAGATGATAATAACTGTGTCATACATTAACACGACCCTTGACATAGGAAGGGCCTGTCATTCTGGAGATTCAGGAATTGACCTACCCAAGCACAGGTGGCAATACAATAATAATAATGATGATGATGATGATGATGATGACAACAGCCCTCTAAAGCACCCTCATGTGCTCTGTGCCCTCTTCTCACTTTTTCTTCCTCCTCATCTTGCATGGGTAAGAAAGAAATGTACCTGTGGTTTGAAGAAGGCTGCAGGGGCTGGAGAGATGGCTCAGTGGTTAAGAGCACTGGCTGCTCTTCCAGAGGACCCTGGTTCAATTCCCAGCACCCACATGGCAGCTCACAACTGTCTGTAACTCCAAATCCAGGGGACCTGACACTCATGGCAAAACACCAATGCACATAAAGAATTAAAAAAAAAAAAAAAAAAAAGAAGGCAGCTTCATTAAGAGACAGCTTCATAAGGATAAGTCCTAGTGGGAGGACAAGGGACAGGAGTTGTCATGAGGTCTCTGGGGACTTTGAAGGAGCAGAGCAGAGGAGGGCAGGGCACACAGCCCCTCCCTCTCTCCTTCCCTCCCTTCTTCTCTCCCTTCCTCCCTCCATTTGTGTTTGTGCTGTATGCATGTGTGAGTGCATTTACCCATGCATACAGATGCAGAGGTCACAGAAGGACATCAGGTTTCTTCCTCTGATTCTCTCCATCTTATCCCCTTAACACGGGTTTTTTACTGAACCTCACTATTTTGGCTAGGCTGGCTGGCCAGTAACCTGCCTGTTTCAGCCCCTCAGTTCTGGGATTCAAACCATGCATGGCCATGTCTGGTTTTTGTGTGGGTGCTCAGGATTTGAACTTGGTTTGTTTTTTAATTATTTATTTTTATTTTATGTACATTGGTGTCTTGCCTGCAGGTATGTCTGTATGAGGGCATCAGATCCACTGGAACAGGAGTTGAATAGTAAACACTTCTTACCCCCTGAGCCATCTCCCCAACTCCCCTTACTGGCCTCAAACTCAGAGTTCCACCTGCCTCTGCTTCCTGAGTGCTGGAATTTAAGGTGTACACTGCTGCCACCCAGCTTGTTTCATTTATTATTGCTGGATGTTGGCTGTACCACAGTTTATTCAACAGTTGAGGGGTGTTTGAATTACTTCCACTTTTCTACTATTGCAGATGAGGTTGTGAATATCCAAGTCCAAGTTTTGGTGTGGACGTAGGTTTCGAGTCTTGGGAGTGGACTCACCACAAGTCAGATGACAGCTGTGTTTGGCCTCCCGCAGAATGGCCACACTGTTTTCCAGAGTGGCCACACCGGTTTCCCTTGCCCGTGGCGGTACATAAGGGTTCCAGTCTGTCCACATCCTGTGGCTCCTGTTATTGCCTGTCTTGTTTTATTGGCGCCATTCTAGTGGGTGTGACGTGGTGTTTCCTTGCAATGGCAACTCTTTGTAAAGGGGCCAGAGAGTGAATATCTCCAGCTCTCTGAGTCACTCCACTTCTGCCACTGAGGCATGAACACAGCCTGGATGGCATGTAAATAAACTTTCTCCGTTGTTTACTAACAGGCGGCAGGCAGCTCCGCTCCAGGGCCAGAGTTTGCAGATTCTGTTGAAAAAGACTGGCTGCCCCATTAGCCCAGCCCGTCTTGGCTCCTTCTTTGGCATTGTTATTATCACTTTAAAAACTGTCATTATTATTGTGTGTATGTGCATGATTTCTATGTGCACATGTGTATGTACATTGTGTGCGTGTGCTTGTGTGTGCACATGTGTATGTGCATGTGTGTACACACATGTGTATGTACATGGTGTGCGTGTGCTTGTGTGTATATGTGCATGATTTGTATGTGCGTGTGTGTGCACATGTATATGCGCATGGTGTGTGTGTGCACATGTATGTGTGCTTATGTGTGCATGCATGCTGTGTGTATGTGTGTGTGCATATTGTGTGTCTGTGTGTGATACAGTGTGCTTATGAAGCCAGTGGACATTTTCGTAGAGTTGGTTTCATTTTTCCATCTTTGTGTGGATCTCAGGAATTAAACTCAGGTCCCCAAGGCTTCTGCCTTTACCAGGTTAGCTTTTATCTTACCACCTTCTATTACTGACTTTTTAAAAAGGTTTATTTTATTCTATGAGCATTTGCCTGCAAGTGTGTATGTGCACCCATGTGTGTGCAGTCCCTGTAGAGGTCAGAGGAGGCAGCTGAGCCTGTGGAACTGTGAGCAGAGCTACCATGTAGATGCTGGGAACAGAACCTAGTTTTCTGGAAGAGGAGCAAGTATTCTTAACCTTGGAGCCAATTCCTCAGGCCCCATTAGTAGACTTTTGAAAGAGGGTCCCCTCCCTATATAGTTCAGGCTGGACTTGAACTTGGGATCCGCCTGCCTCAGTCTTCCCAGAGCTGGGATTATAAGCCTGGACTGCTATACCCAGCTCCCGGCATTATGTTTTATTAAGCTTGTTTCCAATGACTTCGCTTAGCAAGTAGTCCTTGCTTATTGCCTGTCCTCCTCTGCAGTGTGAGATTCAAGGTGATAGTCTTATTTGCCATGTTCTCCCTTTGATCACCAGCATGCCACAAGGCCTGGTGTAGAGTAGATGTTCAATAAAACACATGTTTGAATGAGTGAGTGACTGATGGAGAAATGTAATTCTGTTTCCATTCTACTCAATGGCTTGTCTTTAAATTTTTGAGAGATTACAACTGCTCCCTGAGGATTGGTGGAAAGTGGAATTGGATCAGATGGGAAGCCATAGCTGGGAAGAAATGGCTGGTAAGGATGTCAGTCTTACCAAGGGGTCTCCAAGGGGTCAAGTTAGATCTGGTGACTTGGCTTGTTTTAGTCCAGTTCCCCACCCCACCCTCCAGACAACCCCCCTCCAGCAGTCACTGCACTGTGAAAGTTAAAGGGTCAGCCAACCTAGGAGATGTGTGCTGGCCTTATTTATTTATATATTTTTATGTATATTGATATTTTGCCTGTATGTGTGTCTGTATGAGATTGTTGAACAGGAGTGACAGTTGTGAGCTGCATATTGGTGCTAGGAATTGAACCTGAGTCCTTTGGAAGAATAGCCAGTGCTCTTGACTTGCTGAGCTACCTCCAGGCTTTTTGTGCTTTAATCAAGACCTCCTCTGTCCCAGGCTGACTGGCCCTTGTTATCATCTGAAGGCTGCCCACGTTCCAGTCACTCAT